GAAAGGCTCTGGTGTCTGGAATTGTCAATACTGCCAATGCAGATCACTTATCTTCGAGAGATGTGAGTGACTGTAATTCCTTTCTGGCACACTGGAGCGGAGGTAATGCTCCCATGCTGACAAACTCTGTGTTTACAGTATAATGTTGAATCAATGGTTCCTGCTGCCTGGTAAGTGGAAGGTGTTGCCTCGTTGTGGAATCAGTTGCATTAGATGTGAGCTGAAGGATCTGGAAAGCGACACTTTGGGAGTTGACACAGTTGCGATACCAGGACTGGGGCGAAACAGAAGGAGCCATGATAGGCGAGCAGGTGGATAGATGAAGGCAGGATCTGATGTCTGCAGGGTGCAGTGGCTACTGTAAAAGCACTAGCAATGACAGCAATAAAGTATCAGCTGCACTTCAGACATGGAACACCACACCTCAGATCTGCTTCTGGTTGTTGTGCTATAGGGTGGGGTGATCGTACTTCAATGCAAATTTATTGGTGTGGAAGTATAAATGAGCTTCATTATCTCCTGCTTCTCAAAAGCCAAGCACTGTGCATATGAATACAAATGTGCATCTCTGTTATTATAGACCTTGGATTCTGATTTTAAAAAGAAAGAAAGAAAATCCAAGTGGCCAGTAAGACTGGGAGAAAGCCAACCAGTGAATACTCCCATTTTGCAAATGAGAAACAGTGAGGCTATTAGATAAATGATTAGCAGAGCTTTGTATAGTTTTGTTTTAGATTTTCATTTTGTTTTATATTGTTAAACAGTTTGAAGTCTAACATTGTAGTTTATCTATCAACAGCCTTTAGATTTCGGATGGGAAGATTTGTGCTTGTGATGTCATAGAGGTGGGGCAAGCATGGGTTGGGAGGGAACGTCTTTTCCTAGGCTTTGCATGGCTGCCATCAAGCTTGGAGCAAGAAAAAGTGTACTGAGGAGCAAGGCCGGTGCTCTACTTCCTGCCTTGCTCCAAAGGTATGAGAAGCACAAGGTTGCCATGCCAACAAAGCCAGGAATGAGGGAAGAGGACAGACAGAAGCCCAGCAGGTGCACCAACAAGGACCTCTCCTGCCACTTGAATCAAAACGCACATGCGTGCAAACACTTTTGTGTGAACCCTGGGAGCCGTAGCGCCAGACGAGAAAAGGTATACAGGCTTTAAGGCTACAGACAGAAGTCAGACTTGCCGCTCCTCTAGCACCACCTATGTTGAGATTTGTCTCCTCCACACCTGGCGACCTGGAGCAACACAGCAATCACCTGGGATTTCAGCCAGTGCCCTGACGTTGTCCTTCAGATCTGCCAGTAGACCTTGACCTACTTTCTGCTTGCCCTTGCTATAGGATCTTTTTTTAAAAAAGTACATCAGTCGCCTGTTTTCCCAACCATTTCTTCTCCTCTTAGATCCAAGGGGTTAGGAAGATATTTGGCACCCACTCACCTGAACTCGGGCTGTTGCCGTGCTTCTGTAGAGTACAACTGGGAAATGGGAGGGGGGGGGAGCAGATTTGCTCCAGGTGGTTTAATGAGCATTGGGATTCTCACAGCAAGCCATCAGGCCAGGCACGTGGGTACTAACGAAACAAGCCATGGAGATGAGCCAGTAAATACTGGCTAGTCCCTTCATCTGGGAGACAGAGTCTGTGCCACTCCAGCTTTTAAAAAAAGCTACTGCCAAAAGACAGCAGGCATACTTATAATCTAGTGGGAAATCCTAAAAGATCCCACTTTTGGGGAGGAGGGGGGCAAGTGGGGAGGGAGTCAGAACAGATGTGTAAAGAAGGGTCCTTTGACGGTCACAAACCTGAAGTCACCCTCCTTGTCCTTTTTGTTTCCTCATCATCCAAAGATTTGCTCACCGCAGTGGCTGCTGCTGTTTTCAAAAGTTCTTATCTCTGCCTATTTTAATACCTGAGCAGCTGGGTGTGATAGAAATGTTATAATTTGACAGCCTTTTCTCCTCCAGCCTGGGCTGATGAAAGACAATTTTAAACTCCAGCTTCAGTCATTTGATCTGATTTGCAGCAAAGGGATGTGATTTCAATACCAAGCAAATTCTGCAGCCTGCTGAGATCAGGCAGCAAGGCCCTCTTTCCTCCCGGAAGGAAGAAGGTTCACTCTGAGATTCCCACTTAGCCCTAAGGATCCCTGGGTGGCCTCAGGATCATCTGTCTACCTCATATCCTACCTGGGAAGATTGGAAGGAACTGAGGTTGTGAGATTCTTGAAGAAAATGCCAGAAATGCATTTAATCAAGTAGAAAAAAAAAAGGAGTTGTTTCCTCTAAATGGCTGATTAAAGTCAGCAAATGTTGCCTTAAACAGTTTCTCTCTGTCTCTGTTCCCTGCTCCCCACCTACCCCACACGCCACTTTCTAATCTTTTATGTAAGTTGCACAGTCAGGTCTAGATTTGCACTAGGGCCATATAAGACATGGGGCAGGAAATGCTTTGACCCCTTTGGAAAGCTCTCAGGAGGTAAAGCAGGAGTCTGGCTGTTGTACATATATTGAAATCCTGTGGATGTTGTGGTCAGCTGAAGGCCTAGAAAGCCTGCAGGAACATGATGTCTTTTCTCTCTGCTCTCTATGTGCCAGCTCTCAGATGATGATGATGATGATGATGATTACTACTATTATTACTATTATTACTATTATTACTATTTTGCAAGTGGGAAATGAATTCTGTTGAAAATTCACCACAATCCCGGTGCTCCCATAAACTCTGACATATTTTCTGGAATTCATGTTTAAATTCTTGCCTCAAAAGACCCAAGGATGGCAAAATATGTGACCACGGCAATCAGAGGCCACACCAGCATCTTTGGTGGTAGTTTTCCTGTGAAACCCTATGGCTGAGAGGGAGGATGAGGGATGTGGGAAATTTCTAGGACCTCCCAGCTCATTTGGTCTTGCGTGAGCTCAACAGTTCCCTCTTGACATTCACTGTAGTAAGTTAAATCAACAGGTTCCTCTAGCCCAGGGCTTTCTCCTTTCTGCTCCGACTGCTAGTGATCCCCCGTGATCTTAGGGAGAGGTCTTTTCTAATAAACCTGACTGAGATTTATGACTCTATGGAGGTTTTTTAGCAGAGGCTGGATGGCCATCTGTTGGGAGTACTTTGATAGATGTTCCCGCATGGCGGGGGGTTGGACTGGATGGCCTAGTGGTCTCTTCCAACTTTATGATTCTATGACTCTGTGAGGTTGGTTCAACTCGGAGGGAGGGGCACCTGTTCTTCATGTGAAAGATGTGCTCTAACCACTGAGTCATGCCCCCCAAACAGATTGCCAGTACAAAGTAACTCTAGTTAAGATGGCATTCTCTTGTCTTAGAATCTGAAGGGGAAGAATGAATAGCAGGAGTTGATGGGGTGGAAATTTAGGGCCTTCATTTGGTTCTGCTACCCTGGGTGGGGTGGGATCCTTCCCATCAGACAGATGAAAAGGCAGGAGTGATTGAGAAAGAGGTGGCCAGTTTTCTCAGTGGTTCGAAGATAGGTGGACTCCAGCCTTGACAAACCTGTGCCCATGGTCCTTGAGCCCCACCAAGAGCGTATGGCTGCAGCCCTTTACGCACCTAATCTGAGAGCCAGCTCCTTGGAAAAAAAGGGGTTTAACTTTGGGTATACCTAGATGGAATCATGTCACAAGCCGATGGAATCAGTGCATCCTGTGATCAGCTGGGGCCAACACTTCTTCCCAGCAAGAAAGCCGTAGCCATCTGATTTAAAACACTGTAACTCGGATGGTGAGATGACAAATTGCAGTGCACGCTAGTAGAAAATTATGCCACGTTTATAGTGAACACACCTAAGGACTCCCTTTAGATGTAATCATTGCCATTATCACTGTAATTAAGAGCAATAATATTTTAATAATGAATCTCTGAAAATGAATAATGAAGAGCCATTTATCCTAGTATTTGAATGAGGAAGGCAGGTTCAGCTTTTTCCAGTCTCTCAAAGTGGGGGAAGGCAGAACACACAGGTATGGGCAGTGGCAGAGGATTAGAAGTGAGCATCATCTGGGATCTGTGCCATTCTGATTGATTTGCTAAGCTGACTGACACCAGGAACAAGAACATCAATATGGCCTTCAGACAAGTCTGCAGGATTGCTGGCTGGGTCTTTCCTTGTGGTCAACTGAAACAGTGGCAGTTTTAAACCTGAGGTTGGGGGTGATGTCATGCGAAATGACTGGGATGACTGTGGATTGAAAAAGGATTAAAGGAGACAGGAAATAGCTTTATAACTAAAGCATTTAAGCCAATTTATGACACAGTATTACTGTAACTGAAGTGTTCATGTAAAAAGTCTAAAAGCTGGTAAACGTGTAGTTGCACATGGTCCAACATTAGATTACAGGTGACCAGTAACAACATGTCTAGTACAACAGCAAGGAAGAAACATTCTTATTTTATCAAGTGATGAAAGGCTCTGGAGGTCAAGCTAGAAAAATTACCTTTGGAACTACAAGTCCCAGAAGAATCCAAAATGTGTTTCTGCCGAGCTGTGGTCCAGCTCCTACCACATTCATTGTGAGTGCTCATTTGGTGTCCTTTATAGAGTAAATACAAGGCCTGTGCAAAATGGGGGAGGGAAACACCTGGTCTACATGGAAAATTCAGCTAATGGGCAGGTCCTTTCATCTTCTTTTCACAAGTGATTCAGAGGCAGTGAGAAATGAGCAGCTGGAAGCTTGTTCACCTCCACCTGTTGTTCCATAACAAGATGTCTGTCTTCTTAGTGTCGGTTTGGCAGAGGAGCAAATGTACTGTGGGCTCTGGATCAACACACACTTCATGTATAATTGTAATGGACACCCAAGAAACCAATGGCCTGGGTGTCTTGTCTGCAGCTGTGGCTAGTGTCAACTTGAATTACTTCATGATGGAAGACTGGGCCCACAGATGGATGCAACTCAGCCACTGCACCCCAAGTGCTATCTTCCTGTTCTTGTGGTGTCGCTTCGAAAGAAATCTTCTCTCTCTCTCTCTGTTGCAGAAAAGCCACGGATGAACAGCATCCTCACCTCTGCCACAGAGCCCTATGATCTGTCCTTCTCCAGGTCCTTCCAGAACCTCTCTCACCTCCCACCGTCCTATGAGTCTGCGATCAAGACTAACTCAAGTAAATATTCCTCCCTGAAGAGATTAAGTAGGTGTCTGCTTGTTTCATTATCTTACTACTTGGTGTGTGTGTTCAGGGCAAGAGCCTTCCCCCAGTCCCCTCTTCTCTCTTGCTGTCACCGCTTTTGGCAAAGGACCCTTCTTTCATTGTCCCTTCCCTCTGGCAGGAGCTACCTACTAGTTTAGACCTTTTTCTTTTTCTTTAAAAGTATGTTTTCTCCATACTTACCCACTGGCTGGATAGCTCGGTTGTTTAGGTAGCTGGCTGTGGACTCTGAGGTTGGGAGTTCAGTTGTGCCTCCTGCAAGGTAGAGCCAGCCTGTGTGGCCTTGGGCAAGCTGCACAGTCCCGAGCCTCCCCCAGAAGAAGAGTCCCCCAGAATACTTCTGGGTATTCTCTACCTGGAAAACCCTGGAAAGAGTCGCCATAAGTCAGAATTGACTTGATGGCATATGATTATTATTTTTCATACTTTACCCATCATGTACACATTCTTTGCTAAAGCTATCAGACTTATACTCATTTGTTTCACCCACAGATAGTAACTGACCAAGCAGTTTGGCTAATTTATGTGCCCTTTCTCCAGAGAAACCTTACTTTGGCTCTTTCTCTATACTTGGAGACAAACAGTCCACCATAAATCCTAAAGCTTCTGGCTCTAACAGTAACAACAGACTCCTTGCTTTGCCTTAGAGATCACTTGATTTTTACTAGGCCTGTACCCCAGAGTCTTACTAAATGGATATTTTTGGCACATCTGGGAGTATGTTATGAAGGATCAAATACCCCCAACATCAGCCCCTTACAAAGCACACTTTATATATGGGGGGGGGCAGGGAGGGTCTGAGATTATTTCAAGATTTTTCAGCTGCAGCAGAAGTGGGACTGCTTGCCGTATGTACTGCCCAAAAATGCCAGGATTGTTATTTCATTGCCCAGGCAAGTGGATGACTCACTTGACCTCCTATTGCAGTGTTGCTGCCTTCCAGCCCCTGAAAGACAAGAAGTGTGATCTGGACAGAGAGGAGCCTGGCTGATTGTTTATGCCTCCATGCAGCAGAGTAAGATCCCAGCTTGCTTACAGGAGCCGGTAGTAGGACTATCCTCCTTGGATCCCACATTATTGGACAATCACCAGTCAGTTTCTAATGTTCCATTTTGGGGCAAGGTGCTAGAACACATTGCAGCTTCTCAGTTCCAGGGGTTCCTGAATGACGCATATAATTTAGATCCATTTCAATCTGGCTTGAAGCCTGGTTATGGAATGAGAACTGCTTCAGTCAGCATGGGGGATGACCTGCGCTGGGAACTGGACAGTGGGAGTGCATCCCTATTGGTTCTGCTGGGTCTCTCAGTGGCTTTCAGAATCATCAACCATAGTATCATTCTGGTCCATCTCTCTGAGATGGGATTTGGAGGCACTGTTTTACAGTGGCTCTGGTCCTTTCTGGAGGGATGAACTGAGAGTGACTCCTGTTTGACACCCTGACCATGGGCTGGTGGTGTCCCTCAGCATAGAAGCTTATGCTATTTAACATCTACACGAAACTCCAGTATGTGGATGGCATCCAACTCAATTCTCTCCTTGCCATCTCAATCCAAGAAAGCTGTTGCAGTTCTAGATCAGTCTCTAGTGATAGTAGTGGACTGGATGAAGGCAAACAAACTGAAATTTAATCCAGACAAGACAGAGGTGCTCTTGATCAGTTGAACGATAGATCAAGGAATAGACTGCACCTTGTGCTGGATGGGATTACACTCCCTCTGCGATAGATCAGGGAATAGACTGCACCCTGTGCTGGATGGGATTACACACTCCCTCTGAAAACACAGGTGCGCAGCTTGGGGCTGCTCCTGGATTCTTCTCTCAGCGTGGATGCTTTGGCCAGAAGTTCATTTGCACGGTTAAAACTAGTATGCCAGCTGTGCACATTGAGTGTGGATGCTTTGGTTTTGGCAGTGGCCATAAGTTCATTTGCACAGTTAAAACTAGTATGCCAGCTGTGCACATTCCTTGAGAGATCTGATCTGTCCACAGTGGCACATACCTTAGTTACCTCTTGGTTGGATTACTGTGACGCATTGTACGAGGGGCTGCCTTTGGAAAGTGTTCAGAAAGCACATACCTCAGTTACATCTTGGTTGGATTACTGTGATGCATTGTATGAGGGGCTGCCTTTGGAAAGTGTTCAGAAATTTCAGCAAGTCCAAAATGCCACAGCCAGATTAACTGGGGCTGGTTATTGGGAACATATAATTCCCCTGTTACAGCAGCTCAACTGGCTGCAGATCCATCTCCAGGCACAATCCTAAGTGCTGATTTTAACCTATAAAATCCTAAGTGGCTTGGGTCCAAGCTATCTAGAAGATCATATCTCCTTTAACGAACCTACCCAGGTATTAAAATCATCAGAAGAGGCCTTTCTCTGAGTCCCACCACCCTCACAGGTGCGCTTGGTGAGGATGCAGGAGAGGGCCTTCTCTGATGCTGCTTCCAGAGTCTGGAACTCCCTCCCACAGGAGGCCAAGCTGGTCCCATCTTTACTGTCCTGCAAGCAATTAAAGACCTTTCCCTTCAGGAAGGCTTTTTCCTTTAAATGATTGGTCGACCAACAGGATTTTTAAAAGGGATTATTTTATTCTGTTGTTTTACTCTGTTTTTAATGTTGTTCTTATTATGAGATTAAATATATCTGTTTAATACTTTTTAAATATTGTAATAACTTATTGTTTACCTTTCATTTTTGTTTCTTTTAATACTGTAATCCACATTGGATCCTTTAGGAGAAATGCGACATATAAATACAGTATATTAAATAAAATAAGAAATAAATAAATACAGTTCAGCCTGTGATAGCCACGTACACCAGATTATCCAGAAGGTGCAGCTAGGCTGTCTTCTCTCTTTGTCATTACTATTATGATGTCATTTTATGACAGGCTGCATTTTTTTTTCAAATGCTAGATTTTAAGCCAGAAATTAGGTTCTCTTTCTCTTCATCCTATCAGTCCTTTCCCTTCTGAACGACAGAATTAGTGAAGAATCTGCTGCTTATGGATACTAATAATGATCTCTGTATATATTTGGGCACTTGAACTGTATTTTTAACCAAGAAAAACAAGGGAGGCAGAATTCCACACACTGGATGTTTAATGAAATATTTTATTGCTGTTGTGTAGTTTCAACATATTTAGCTTTGTTTCCCAGATCTATTAAAACTGTAGATGGAAAAAGTGAATCTTGGAATGACAACTCTTGAGATATCCCAGTCAGCATGATGACTTTTGTTGCCTCTGATCAATACCACCAAATTAAACATCTCATTGTCAAAAGGGAATATTTGGGATTAGAAAGCCCATTTCAGAAATCCTCAGCAGGATGATCTTCCCTCCCTTTCTATCTCCAGTTTGTAAAGCCTGCGTGCTATAGTGGAGAGAGTATTGAACTAGGACTTGGGAAACCTGGGTTCTAATCCCTGCTCTGCTGTTGAAGACTCATGGGGAGGGCACGAATTAAACCACTCCTTAAATATCTGACCTACACTGAAAACTTTATTAGGGTTGCCATAAGCCCAATGCAATCAGATGGCACGAAGCACACATGCATCCCCAGAATAGTACTTTGAAACATGGCAGGTTTAAGAGGTTTCAGCTACTACCGTTATTAAGCTGAAGTACCGTGAGCATGTGAAACATTTCAAAGACAATATAATTCTCTTCTCTGGCTTTTTGTTCTAGCAGTTCAATCTGTTCTGTAACTATCTGCGATGAACGTTAATCAAGCGTGGGCATACAAACAGCTCCTTAAGAAAAATGCCACTTCTCATTGCGCCTTGAGTTCATTTAGCAGCTCCATTTGCTCAAGCAGCAATTCAGATGCAAGGGCATATTCTACAGCTAGAGAAACCCTTATTGTGGCTAATGACAAGTCGTAATGCATTTAGCGTCTGCCCTGTACTCTTGCCATTCTGTAGACCTCCTTTTCTTCTGCTTCTTCTTTTTCCCTTTCCCCTTTTCCTCCTGCGGCTCTTGCCCTTAACTCTGTCTCTTCTTTTTCCTTGCCCGTTGCAGCCGACAAGGAAGCTGAGGAATATTATTCCAGGAAGAGGCACCTCCCAGACTTAGCAGCCAGAGGGACTCTCCCTCTCAACGTCATCCAGCTATCCCAGAAACAGACCACGCCAAGGGAGCGGCCCCGCCGCGTGTTGCGGGCCATGTCCCAGGACCGAGTGCTGTCCCCAGAGAGGGTGATGCCGGAAGAGTTCAGCATGTCTTACGAGAGGATCCTTTCGGATGAACAGCTCTTGTCCACTGAGCGCCTCCACTCCCAAGACCCGCTCCTCTCTCCAGAGCACTCGGGCTTTGGGGAGCAGTCCATGTCCCGGGCTTTGTCTCACTCGGATGTCTTTGTTTCCACACCCGTCTTGGATCGTTACCGGATGACTAAGATGCACTCCCATCCCAGTGCCTCAAATAACTTGTACAACACCTTGAGTATGAACCAAACGTCTGCGAAGCGCCAGGCATTTGCCTCCCGGCGGCACAACACAGTGGAGCAGCTACATTATATCCCAGGACACCATTCCCATTACCGCACAGCCAGTAAGACAGAGGTGACTGTTTGATCAGAGACACTGTGTGCTGTAGATAACGATCCACTGAGGTGGCTTCAGTGCCCTACACTGCAGTGGCCTTATGGCCAAGATGACCTCTAATTCCATGTCTGAAAAGGCAGACTCTTCCGACAGTCCTGTCTGTGTTGTTCCAATTTATTAAAAAAAATATCATCTACATGTTATTGACATAAAGAGGGAGGGATGATACAGGTAAGGTTTCCTCACATGCTCAGTTTCTGTCAAAGAAAGCCATACTAGATTATGGTTCCTTCAAGGGCTTGCCTGCACATATTTGCTAGTGTTTGTCAAGCTAGGACATTAATGCCCAGTTTGACAAACTGAGAAGAAGAGTATCATTCAAAATTGACATCAAATGACAAGTTCGACAAGCCATCTAGCTGGGCACACTGGGATCCCATCTTGATCCCAGGGCTTCCTTGCAGTTGAATTTTACCCAAACGGCCCAGCTGCAGTCCTGGCAATTCTAGCTATGGTCCATCCTGGGAGTTAGAAGGTGGTCATCCATTTTGACATAAGCATCATTCTCCATGGTCCTTGGAGAAATTATAGTGGCAAATCCTATTACATGGTTAGCAGATTTAGAAGATGTGATTGCCATGGTCAGAAACCACCGTGTTTTCCACATAACTGTGAAACAGAACTACTCCAGTGCCTATAAATTGCAAGTTCTCTGGATGGTAGAAGGGATGAGATGGATTTGTTTATAAGCACAATTCTTCTGACAAGAGTTTGCCAGTGTTTTCCCTCCCCACATATTCTTCTGTCTATCCTCATATATTTAGATCTCCAATGTGTAAATAAAACAACATGTTTTAAAAAATGTTTTTTTAAAAAAGGAAGTAGGGCAGCATTGCTTCTCTCCAAAAAGGCTCCAATGTTTCACCCATTTTTACACAACTTAACAGCACACACTATTTGAATGTCCAGAATGAAGTTGTCCATGTGATAGACAGATGTGAAATAGCTGTAGTCCAGTTTCCATTCCATGAGCTATTGATCACAATTCAGACTGTATTTGGTTTACTGCCTGTCTGTGGCTTCCTTCAAGGTAGCCTTGGGAGGTCCTCAGAAAAACTAGCCATTATAGCTATTTTCAAAGCATTTTCATTTCCATCTGGACCAATAACACTTGTGAATTGCTAGTCTTGCTGCATCTCAGCCAGGTGAAATGCACGAGCATCTCACGTACCAGTTGGGCACATGGTACAGCCACTGTATGGTGGTAATTAGACACTAGGTGTCTGTGAAGCCTTTCAAAGAAATGATGTAGGTCCAACATTTGTTGGATTTTGTAGTTGGGACAGATGCTCTTCCTAATTATCATATACATCAAGACATTCCATTTTTCAGCTAGTTGAACAGCTAAATGCAATAGATGACCAAAGCTGTGTCATTCTGTGAAAGGTTCTTTCACTCTATTATGTACTCACATCTCCATGTTACAGGCACACAAACCAATTCTGGAATGTTTGCATCAAATAGCATCCCACAGGGTGCAATAGTCAAAGGCCTCAGACATGAACACAGAATTTCACAGCATCCCACAGGGTGCAATAGTCTAAACAGGTACATTGATCAAAGGCCTCAGACATGAACACAGAATTTTCCAAGCAGTTCCCAAAATTCCTCTTCATCAGATATCTCTTAAAGTGACTTTGCACTTGGAGGTAAACATGTAAAAAGTCATACCCTGTCCCTTTTAAATAATATGACTGTTTGTAGCATCAGGAAAAAGCAGCCATGGGGTTGCTTTTTGCTGGCATGTTGTTTGTAGATGCCAGACGGGAGCCATAAGAAATACTGTGCTTTGTTTAACAGAAACTGGGCTGGGAAGGAAAAACAGTGTTGGCCATATAACTCAGCTGTTGCTTGTATCCTGTTCTCAGGAGACAGACGTGAAATTTGAGGTAGTTAATGTAATGTGCATAAGTGAGGGAGCCACAGACAGTGAGGGAGGCAGTTTTCAGTGCTGTTGTCTTCAAACATCTCTGGTGCCAGACAATATGGACTCTGAAAGGTTGATGTCCAACTCAGTTACCTGCTCTGGTACCCATAAGAGTCCTGAGGCTATGAATCCTTTCACATATACAGCTTCAGTTTTTCACGAGACAGACTGAGTATTGATAAGAAAGATGAAACATTCATCACTGAGAATAGCTGTGGGCCTATGACTCACTGAAGCAATAAGCCAAAGGAAGAACTAATTACAGGAGGAGAGCGATACACAAGGTAGTGCGAGAGGCTTTGGCATTTACCTGGGAGTTGGTTTTCCAAAGTCATGCCACAGATTATACCCGAGTTCCATTCCAATGGAATATACAGGTACCCACCCCTCCAATACTGCATGGCCCACTTCCAAGCCATCTCTGCTCTCCTATATTGACACAACCATTTGCAAAGCCATGTTGGTAGCCAATCTTCCTGTTTGTCAGGCTTTCTCTATATATCTCACAGCTACCATGGTTGTTCCCAGAAACGTTCGCTCTGTGACAGAAGAGGTATTCCTTTGCTATAATGTTATGCAACGGTGTGGCCCCACCCACCCATGCAGACGTGCTTTTTGGTGGAAGCCATGTACATACAAAGTAGGCCACAGTCTCTCCGCCACCAAAATGTCTTACATGAAGGATGGATACAATCTTCTGCGCAGGCCCTCTGAGACCTCTCTGGGATGCTATTATTGATAGCACATTTGTCTAGGATTTGATGCTGTGCTTGAAAGCTATGGATTGAGTAGTCGCTATAGGTGAGTAGCAGGAAATGGGGAACAGTTCTGATTACTTTGTCTCATTAGCAGGGGCTTCCATTTTGTCCTGTGCTCTGAAATTGAGTGCCTCAGCTGGAGAACTCATCTGAAATCCAGTTCAATTTTGGAAACATATTCCTAATATCTAGTCTAACCCCAGTGAACCTGATTACTACTACTCTGTACTGCTAATGGTTGCTTCTCCATTATTGCTTGGGAAAAGTGGAGCTCATGCTAGCTTTAGCCTTGCAAACAGTATAGATGGGGAAAGCGTCCTTTGGGTTTTGGGGATAATACATCTGGCCTGAGTAAGGCAACAGGGGAAGGGTTCCTCTTTTCTCTATAAGGAGATTTATCTTCTTTCTTTCAATTGTATAGTGCCCAAGGCAGCACAAATAGGTTTGTTTTTTTATGGATTTTTTTTAGAGAAAGGCAAATTAAACTGTCCAAAACAATTAAACACATACTATGAGATCCAAAATAATGCACTTAGGAACAGCAGAAATGCCTATTCTCTAATCAAAAGAATAGAATGCTTCAGACTGTTGATTAAAAAAATTGAAGTCCCAACTAGCAAATTTCCAAGTAGCATTCAGATAGACGTGGGGGGGATGGGTAAAAATAGGTGCCTCCTATATGCTTTTGTATTACAATTCCCACCGTCTCTTACTTGGCTGTGCTGGTTAGGCTGACAGAAGCTGTATGCCAGAACCACCTAGACAGATACTCTTGCCAGACACTCTGGGCCAGATGGATGCTTGAACAAGTGGTTGGTCTCATGGTGAAAAGGAGCAGGACCCTTGGGCTGCAGGCCTATAAAGCTATACACATATCTTTCCAGAGGAGAGTCAGCAGCATAAGATTGTGCTAGTGCAAAAAAGGGGGGTGGACTTGGTGGCTCCCCTCCAGATGTTGGACAATAGCTTCCCTTATCCTGACCTGCAGGGATGACAGGTTAGGGCTGATGGGAACTGGTGTCCGATTGTAGCTGTAGAGCCACTGCTTTCCCATACTGCAAGATATGTGTGCAGCTGAACAAGCAGAACAGTTTGGGCTAAAAAGGATTTTAAAAGAGCTTACCTGTTGAGCTCTGCAAGTGGCTGCAGGGCAGATGTCAAGACCATCTCTAGCAACAGTGCGTACACAGGTCTTCTCCGCAGAACCAGTCACTCTCTCTTTATTATTTGCTTCACTTGCATTCAGAAACATTGAGAGCTAGAGAACATCCAAGCAGAGCCCACATTACAGAAATGGAACAGCTCAAGATGTGACGACACAACAAACATCCTCTTAGAGCATCGCGAGACATTGTATGCTTCTGTACTTTGGCTCACCCAAATTTGACAAGAAGTATACACTCAAGTTCTAAGATGATGATTATGATGATTAATTGGGAACTATAGTTATGCATCCAGCTCTCCAGGAGAGTCTTTGCACAAAAGATGTGCTTGTTGCATTTTACTTTTGAAGGATTTTAAAAATCTACCTACCCATTTATTTTATTTTATTTTTATTTTTATTTTATTGCTGCCATCTTTCACACAAAATTTTCCAGGGCTATGCTACATCAAAGAGTTGAGCTCCACACACACAAGAACTGAGAAGGTACAAGGAAGCCTGGACTTCTACCCTTGGTTGGCTTCCAACATACCCTGCAATAGTTAATAAGGAACCTGCAGGCTTCTGGATTATGTCATACTCTGAATCCCATCACCCCCAGACAGCACGGGCAGTAAACAAGGATGATGGGAGTCCTAGTCCAATCGTATCAGCAGGACCACTGCCAAGCAACATATTCTGCTGGATTTTCTTAAAAGTTATTTATCAGACAGCAAAAGAGGGAGAATGGGAGAGCAAGAAGAAAATGAGAGTGAGAGTTTATAAGAATTGCAATTCCTCAGAATAAACAGACCGAAGTCAGTCCTTGAAACAAAGAATTATTTTAATGATCCTTGCGTATCACACCCACATCTACAGGAAGATTAGTTTCCTCAGTGCAGCAGTCTGTGTTTCATTGAACAAGGATAACATAGATATAAACATATTTCAGCAAGTCAGGGTCCTTTTCTTCTTCATATATTGTCTAAGAAAGGGGAGGGTAAAAAAGTGCAGGAGGCATTTTGGCATTTCCATGATTCCATTCCAAGTGCTCCCTCAGTTTACCAGCACTTCCAGGACACACGTATAGAACAACGTTCATAGACCTAGATCTCTAACTCCTGAAAATGATCATTGATGCAGCAAAGGGAGAACTCTGATGGAACAGCCAAAGGAGTGGAACATTTTTGCTTTGCTTACAAACAAAAGAGTTTGTAAATGAGCTCACCCCAAACAACCAAAATTGGGAAATTATGCTTTGGACCTCTTTACAGAAGTCTTGCCACAAAATACTAGTCCCACCCCCTCCTACATCAACATCTCATTTCTTTACATGATCAAATGTTAAATCAAAATGTTAGTCTGGGGCTGAAAGGAGCTGAAAGCAGAAGGGAGCAATGAACCCCTATGATAGTGGTTCCTTTTGTAAAAAAAGGTTACCATGTGGAGATTATTCTCTTGGGCCTGAAAGACCAGGTAGAGGTCCACGTGCAAAGGAGCAGGAGGGCCATCGTAGGGCTGTGCTCTTGAGATAACAAGCAAGGGGTCTGGTCCATATCATCCTTTTCAATGCACAAGGGTTCTCGATTCAAACCAATCACCCAAATAACTCATCCTGGGTGCTCTTGACTCTGTGAAATAGATGTTTCTCGGAAGTAACCCTCTCGTGAAAGCTGAGTCAGGGGAAGAAAGGAAGGCACAGGGATCTGGAAGACTTTAGGAGAAAGTGAATTTATACACTACTGGAAAAGCTGTAGCAATAATTTTGGATTGGGCTGTTTCTCAAAAAAAAATTATAGTTGCCTGCTTGTTGAATGCTCACTGCTAATCAGTAAGAAGATTCAGGTGTAGAGGCAGCAGGTGGCCTCAGTTGTATTTCATCAGCTGAAGGCCTGTGGGAAGGGAAACAGATATATTCTGTTCATATAATATTTATGTAAATCTGGGGGTGGGAAGGGATAAAAGATCCATTATCTCATTAGTTAGCAAAAAAAAAAGGCATTTGGTGTCTCTTTTGTGACCTTTCATGATTTGTGGAAGTTCTCACCATTGGTGCAGAACGGCACCTTACTGTTGCTCTAACCACATGCTTTGCAGCTGCTTCTTCCAGACTCCATCCCACCCGCTGAGGAGAGATCCTTTCACAAGAGTCTCTCTCCTCTGGGGAAGCCAAGTCGTATAATAATCAGCTTCATTTGGGGATACTGTTTCCGGAGGGGAAGGTTGATTGTCTGACCCTCATTGTGCTTCAGCCCGGTTTATGGAATCCATGTGTATTCTCCTGTAGTACTGAGGAGGAGGTACATTTGCATCTGTATCTTTGCACAGACTCTCGGTTACGCATTAAGCTTCAAGGCAGCAGTATTTGATTGTTTTTCTCTGTATTATCCTTGTTGTTATACTTACCTGTAAAAGCACATTCTGTAGGTACTGTAAACAAAACTATTACCAGTTTAGTAAAAATTTAGAGTCTTAAGGATTTTTTCCACTTTTGTCAGTAACAAATATTTATGGAGTCAAAAATAAAGCAATTTCAGCAGAAAAAAAAAAGTCATGGTCTCTTTTTATACATGTTCGAGAAACCCAAACAGAGGTATTTCATAAACACTTTTGCAAACACTGCGAGCAAAGAGTGTCAGAGTAATAATATATTATCATTAATAGACCATGTTG